CTTCAGACACCTCTCTTGCCCCTTCTGCCACGTGAGGTCACAGTGAGAAGACAGCCATCTATATACCAGGAAGCAGGCTTGTCGTAGACACTGAATCTGCCCGCACCTTGGTCTTGGACTTTCAGCCCAAGTGAGAAATAAATATTGACTGTTTCGGCCTCCTGGTATACGGTATTTTTTTTTTTTTTTTTTAAAGAAGCCTGAACAGACTGAGACAAACAATTACTTTTAAGCGCCCACGAGATCCTTTCAGCCTCCCCGATCCCTGGTACTCTTGGCTGTGGCAATGGCCGCCCTGGTTTCATGCTTTACAAGTTGAAGCAGGTTTGTTCGTGCCCAGAGCCCTCTATGCTGCTTCCTTTCACCTCCTGCGTCGGGACTTCTTTGTTGTTGCTGAAACATAAGCCACCAAGAAGCACCAGGTTCACTCCCCAATGAGATGGCCCTGTGTCTAACTGGAGAAGGGAGCCAGCAGGTGGACTCTTCTCCCTTCCTCCACCGAGATGGAGTATCCTAAGAAGCAACTACTCACGTGGTGCCTCAGGAGATGGTCCCGGGAGACCCAGCAGTCAGTTGCCCCTGACACCAAGAGCTTGGACACCCCTCAAATTCCTCCTCCTCCTGCCCTGTCCTGCCCCATTTTCCCTCCCTTTTGCTTCTGGGGGACTGCACTTTTAATAAAGTGGTAGCACTTAGGCTTTTGACTGATGCTCTGCTTTCTGGGGAACCCAGGCTACAGCAAAATCTACAGTTTTTAACTGTAAGTAAGATTGGTTCCTTTTAAAACTACACTCATCTGGCTGAAATGAACAAATCAGAAGACTGTAGATGCTGGCGAGGAGGTGAAGAAACGGGAACCCTCTTGCCCTGTTGGTGGGAATGCAAACTGGTGCAGCCGTTCTGGAAAACGGTGTGGAGCTTCCTCAAAAATTTAAAAATAGACCTACCCTATGACCCAGCAGTAGCACTGTTAGGAATTTACCCCAGGGATACAGGAGTGCTGATGCATAGGGGCACGTGTACCCCAATGTTGATAGTAGCACTTTCAACAAAAGCCAAATTATGGAAAGGGCCTAAATGTCCATCAACTGACGAATGGATAAAGAAGTTGTGGTTTATATATACAATGGAATACTACTTGGCAATGAGAAAGAATGAAATCTGGCCATTTGTAGCAACGTGGTTGGAACTGGCAAGTGTTATGCTAAGTGAAGTAAGTCAGGCAAAGAAAGACGGATACCATATGTTTTCACTCATATGTGGATCCTGAGAAACTTTAACAGAAGACCAGAGGGGAGGGGGAGGGGGGAAAAAGTTACAGAGGTGGAAGGAGGCAAACCATAAGAGACTCTTAAATACTGAGAACAAACTGAGGGTGGCTCGGAGGAGGGAGAGAGGGGAAAGTGGGTGATGGGCATTGAGGAGGGCACCTGTGGGGATGAGCACTGGGTGTTGTATGGAAACCAATTTGACAATAAGTTATATTTAATATAACAAAAATAAAACAACGTATTATTGAATGAAAATGTATGGCAAGTTGGTGCAAAATGTTTTCAAAACTGAACCTACCACAGAAGATGTGGGGCTGTCAGAACTTTTACACATTTTTATTGGGAGTATCAATTGGTACAAGCGCTTAGAGAACAGTTTGGTTGAGTCTATTTAAGTTCTGCATGTGCATACCCCAATGCTAGGTGTATACTCTTCCCCCAAATGGATGTATGTGCACAAAAAGATATGTACAAGAATGTTGACAGCAGTGTTCTTTGTGATAGCTAAAAATTGGAGCAACACCTAAATGTCCATGAATAGCAGAATGCATGGATAAATTATTGTCTATTACTATACCGGAATACTCTACAGCAAAGAGAATGCACAAACGGCAGGCAGCATAATGTTGAAAGAAATACAAAATACTATATGTCATGAGAGTTTATTAATATAATGTCCTAGAACAGTAAAAACTAGTCTATAGAGTTAGGAGTCAGAACAGGATTAACCTTGGGAGAAGAGTAGGAGATAGCGATTCAGAAGGGGCAAGATGATTGACTTTGAGGTCCTGGAAATGTTCTGTTGTTTTGATGTGGGTAATTGTCTTTAAATAATCCAATTGTTCATTGTGGTTATTTACTGCTCTTCATATGTATGATTCGTGTACTTTTTTGTTTGTGTAGCTAGATAAAAAAGAGTTCTAAAATTAAAAAAGAAAATAAAACTACACTCATTTATTTTACATGTGCATATTAGAAGCTCCTATCCTGTGTGATGCATTGATTCTTTAGAGTGGTTTGAATCTTGATACCCATAGATTTCTTCCTTGGAAGTTCCAGAGATTCTTTAAGAGTAATTTTTTCTCGGGGTGCCTGGGTGGCTCAGTTGGTTAAGAGTCCAACTTCAGCTCAGGTCATGATCTCACAGTTCCTGAGTTCGTGCCCTGCATCAGTCTCTCTGCTGTCCACACAGAGCCCACCTGGGATCTTTTGTCTCCCTCTCTCTCTGCTCCTCCCCTGCTCATGCTCACTCTCTCTCTCTCAAAAATAAACATTTTTTAAATATATTTTTTTCTCTGCAGAAGATGAAGAAATCTTATATGCAGAGCCACCCCAGTGTCATAGCCCAGACTAAGGATCCGAGAAGGGTCATCTCCAGTCCTGGCCAAAAGCTATCATCCTTAACCACATCCAAAATACCTAGCGCACTTTCAAGGTTATTTGTCTTCGAGACTTCATCACTTTGCTCTGCCAAACATCTAACAGTTTCAGATCTATTTCTGCAAAAGACGTTAGGTATGCCTACGTTCTCTACTGCCCTTATGTTAATAGGCTGGGCTACATTTCTTTAATCTCTCTGTCCCCCACCCTCACTCCTTGCAACCAATTCCAGGACCTCCCCCCCTCTGCTATCACATAATGCTTGCAGCATTTACACACTGTTATTTATACATACTGAGTGTGACATGTAATGTGATATGATATGAATTTGACTGAGGTGTATTGGGGCTCCCTAAATAAGCCTCAGCTCAATATTATTCACCAGGAAGCTATTTATTATTGAATTATGTTTATGACTGTAAGCCTATATGACAAAACAATACCTGCTAAAAGACCCAGCATGTTTTTTTTTTTTTTAATTTTTTTTTTAACATTTATTTATTTTTGGGACAGAGAGAGACAGAGCATGAACGGGGGAGGGGCAGAGAGAGAGGGAGACACAGAATCGGAAGCAGGCTCCAGGCTCCGAGCCATCAGCCCAGAGCCCGACGCGGGGCTCGAACTCACGGACCGCGAGATCGTGACCTGGCTGAAGTCGGACGCTCAACCGACTGCGCCACCCAGGCGCCCCAAGACCCAGCATGTTTTAATAGCTCTTTACTTTCTCTTCTTTCCCTCCTGCTGCTCTCCTTTGTCATCACACCCATTTTTCCCCCCTCTTACAGGGTGGTTAATTCTTGAGAAAGAGAGCACCCCTATTTCTCCTCTCTCTGGATTTGGTCTGCCTTTCCTTTAGTGATGGGAACAGATTTGCAATGATGTGGGAGAATAGTTTGATGTACCGCCCTACCACCTTCCTTAGTACGTCGTTCTCCCACCTTCCTCCCTCCCCGACTCAGACAGCAGCGAAGTATTCTTTACTCCCCACCCAGGATGCGAAAGGGCAAGGAATAAGGGAGAAAAGTTCAAGTTAGGCTTTGGTTCTCTTAAATAGATACTGTGTTATGGACCGAGTGTCCTCAAAATTCCTAGGTTGAAATCCTAACTCCCAATGTGATGAAAGGAATGGGGCCTTCAGGAGGTGACTAGATTTTGAGGGCGGAGACCTCATGAGTGGGATTAGTCCCTTCTAAGAGAGACCCTGGAGAGCTCCTTCACCCCTCCTGCCATACAAGGACACGGTCTGTGAACAAGGAAGTAAGCTCTCACCAGACACTGATTCGCCAGCACGTTGGTCTTAGAATTCCTAGCTTCCAGAAGAGTGAGAAATAAATTTTTGTTGTTTATAAGCTGCCTACACTGTAGTAGAAGCCTGAACAAATGAAGACATACCTTTCAAATTCATTATTTGGGGGGCGGGGGGAAGATTGAGGATGTTGAATTCTGGGAAACTGGCTTTTCAGGAATAAAAGTAAGATCCTTAAAGCTATAGGGAATAAAAATTATGTCTATCAATTGATTTAAAAGACATATGGAACCTACTTGCCCTCATAGAGGACACCTAATGTCCTTGGGAAGACAGCGGGGAGCCAGAGAGGAGGACAGAATTGGACATTACTCTCGGTCCCTAGGAAGCATCTCTGCATCCCATTCACCCCTACTCTTTCTCCTCAGGATGTGAAGTCACACCCCTTATAAGCTTTCTTGAAGTACCCAACTGCCATAGTAGAGGAAGAAGAAGAAGAAGAAGAAGAAGAAGAAGAAGAAGAAGAAGAAGAAGAAGAGGAGGAGGAGGAGGAAGAGAGGACTCTGCAATCACCCTATCAATTTTCCTGTGATCCCATAGTAGTTTGGAGCAATAATTGATGTTGTCTTAGATGCTTCTTGAGAGAATCTTTGAAGTAGCATAAAGAGAGTCAGCAGACCTGAAGAGGCCTTGTGGTTGGGTTCTGGGGAGGCTATGGCATGCCTCCCATGGACCAAAGACAAGATCAAACACCACCATGGATGCCAGGGGAGGTTATAGATGCCGTGGACTAGGTGAGTGGTCTGAGGAATCGTAGCCACTGTGTATATTAATTGGAATTATTAAAAAGGAGTGTGCTTCAAAGGCTTATGATGGGTTGAAGAGCTATTAAGTGCCCAAGATAGTCATTCTCACTGAACATTGAAACTTTAGCAGATCTATCGTGGGGCTAGAGGCTAAGTCCCCTTCTCTTCTTTCCTTGGAGTCCCCTCAACCATCTAGTATGTCACCCACACCCACCATTTACAACCAGCACCATAATAGAAATAGGTAGAGAAGTCACTGGCCTTAAGGAATTTAGAATCCCCTGTTTAACAGCTCACCTTTCCCTTGCTACGAGACTGTGTGCTGTCTCTCCATGGTGCCTCTCTTCAGCTTATTCTTCTGTAAAAGGAGAGAATAATATTTGCATCCTATTTATAGAAAGATGGAAATAAATTAGGTGAGCATATGGGCTCTGATGGACTCTGAGTTCTTTGGGAAAAGTTGCTGACCAAGGACAATACACTTTTTTTTTAACTGACCATTGCACATAGAATCAGTTCTTTAACACCACAGTGTCCTTCCTTTTTTTTCCCTACAAGATGTCATGTCATGTCTTTGCAAGACTTCCAGTGAACAGGAGGGCTCATCAATTTCAACCTAAAGCTATTAAAATGTTACTTTGTTAGCAATAATTAAGGTGTGCAGCCAGGGCTCCCTATAGATCACACTTGAAGGCACAGTCATATTTTTCTCCTATTGCTCCTCAGGTGTCTTAAATTGTCAGGTAGTCAGGGGAGGGGGGGTAACTGGGAGCTGGGCAGGAAAGGAGAGAGGGAGGAAGATGCTTGCCTTACAAATAAAGGTAGAAACCATAAGAATCTTTTTCGTTGAGCCAACCTTCTCATAAGAGTTGTCTAAGACATTTTTTTCAGGTTTAATCTGTTGAAATGCTTCTAATAAAAATCTGTCTGATCAAAAACATTTCTTAATTAGACTTTTTAAGTCATCAAAGGCTCTCACTAAAATTTCCCTTTGACTTTGGCTGACAACATATCTGACAGGCTATGAATTCTATAGCAATGGCACCAAGAAACATCACGTCATCTCCACCATGTTTTATTCGTGGGCTTGCTTTCTTCCACAGAATGAATCTTCAGCTGTACAAGAAAACGCTGCTTGTTGGCTGTTTTCTTTCTGTGCTCTTGGCCAGCCCACTCCACCCTATCTTCTGACATTCCAGAAAGATCATAGTCCCTTGGAAGTTTGTCAAAGTAATTTTCCTATAGAAAAATTAGCTTGCACAAAATTTTGAGGACATAGGGTATGGAAGGGAAGGCTAGTTTGGAACTCAAGCCATGGGCAAGCACTAGAAGCAAAAGAGACTTGGACTTTGAAGCCTGATGAATAGAGCTAGCTGTCTAGTATGGGTGAAAATGCATTCTTACGTTTTTGTTACTCACCCTGCCTGGGTCCATAAGGACTGTAAAGTATTTACCACCCTGTGCATTGGAGAGGTTTTTGATCACAAAAGAGATCCAGAGCCTGCTTTTATGAACTGATGGTCTAGAAGTTTGATGCAGTGGAAATAGCTTCAAACTTGGAGATGAGAGACCTAGGTTTTATTAATTATGTGACTTTGACCTCAACATCTAAAGACTTTCTTTCTTTCCGATGAAGGAGTCAAATGGAGACACCTCCTACCTCTGAGTAGTGTTATGAGGTGAAAGAACATTATAGACAATAAAGTGCTACACCAATGTTGTTTTTGCTGAGTTCTTTAGTAGACTGGATTCCTGACCCCAATTCTTCACCCTTCCCTGGATCCATGACCTTGGTCATAAGTCTCACTTTGGCAATGGAATGTGGACATATACTCTATCAGCGGCCAATTCCTCACCTAAGCCTTAAGAGAGGTTGCACATTTCTGCCCTCCCTCTTGTGCCTCTGCCATTGTCCTATGTAGCTGATGGTCCAAGAAGGATGAGAGATCTAATCTGCAAATTAGAGCTATGGTTCTTGAACTTTAGCATCAGAATCACCTGGAAAGCTCATTAAAACACAGATTGGTTCAGTTGTTCTCAGAAGTAACTAACTTCCTTTCTCCCTTCCTCTCTCCCTTCCTTCCTTCCTTCCTTCCTTCCTTCTCTATTTTTCTTTCTTTCTCTTTTTCTGTTTTTTCTTTCCTTCCTTTCTTCCTTCCTTCTTTACTTCCTTCCTTCTTTCCTTCCTTACCTTTCTCTTTCTGTCTTTTCCTTCCTTCCTTCCTTCCTTCCTTCTTTCTTTCCTTCCTTCTTTCCTTCCTTACCTTTCTCTCTTTCTGTCTTTTCCTTCCTTCCTTCCTTCTTCCTTCCTTCCTTCCTTCCTTCCTTCCTTCCTTCCTTCTTTCCTTCCTTCCTTCTCTATCTTTCTGTCTTTCTCTCTTTCTGTCTGTATTTTCCTTCCTTCCTTCCTTCCTTCCTTCCTTCCTTCCTCCCTCCCTCCCTTCTATCCATCCTCCTTTCTTTCCATCCTTCATTTCTTCCTCCTTTTCTACCCCACTCCCAGTGTGTATCACAGGTCATATTATGTTCTAAAACAGTCCAAAAAGAGCAACTGCAGCCCATCCCCAAATGCAACTGAATTTAAAATTTACTGTCAAACCTGTTTCTAAAGACCAGAGCAACTGAGCCCAGCCTGTATCGGCCAACCTCCGGACAGCCTGAGGAGATGTGAGCAACATAAATGCTTATTGCTGCACGTCCCTGAGATCCTGTGGTTGTTACACAGCAATCGCTGACCAATGTAAGTAATTGCTCAGACAGATTGCGAATTACAGAATATATGTTTGTCTTCTCAGCAACATGGCTTCTCAAAGAGAGGTAAGTGACAGCTGCTGAATCATGTGGAGGCTGCAGGACAGTCTTTAAAATGCCATTTATCAGTGATCTTTCCCAGGGAAACCCCAACATTTCTGCGCCCCAACATTTATCAAGTTTTCCCCCACTCCTTTCCACTCCCGACTCTATCTCCCTGCTCTAAGTGATCCTGGGAACTCATGAAACATGCCTCAGAAGCAGGTTGAAGATGAACTCTAAACACAGCCATACTAGCCACCAATGGAGTGAGCTTCTCCTATTGGTCTATTTTAGAACACAACGTGACCTACAATCCAGAGATGATGCACATATTGAGAGAGACGAGGGAGGGAAAGAGGAAGGATGAACTTGCAGGGCCCCTTGGAGTCTGATGAACTCTCTCTGTTCAATTACCCACAGATGCAGTTTTTACAAACCTCCCTGAGTGTCTGCTTGGGGGACAAGGGGGACCAAAGGACTGCATCTGTCCCTCTAGCTCCATTTTGTGTTTGATAACTGTTCATCCAGTGGGCACAGGGAACAGATAACGTCCCCCTCCATATGATAAGCTCCTCAAGGGTAGGGATCTTTGTGTTGTTCACTGACATAACTCAAAAACCCACAGAAGTGCTGGTGTAGTGGGCATTCAATAACTATTTTTTGAATTGAAATTGAATTGAATTGCCTGGAGGCCATGCTATGGACAATATCTGGGAGCAGCATGTTGCCGGGCAGATGGGCCACTCCTGCCGTCCCCAGCAAGCCGGTCACGCTGGCTCTCAGTTCCCAGTACCCACCCCCCTGCAGTACTATGACACCCGGTCACAGGAGCCACGTGTTCCATTTACTATATTTAGCGACGTCTTTCTCTCTTAAATCCTTTTCATTAACTGGCTCATTTCCCACTCAGCTTCATTTCCTTTAAGTCTACACCCCTCCATTGTTTCTTACCATAATACCATTATCTCTTGGCCATTCTGGAGTTTTTTGCTGTTTATAGGAATATTTAGTTTGCTCTTTTCAACAACATCGCAGTGGAGATGTTATAGAAATTTTACACCTTTGGAAACTGAGGCACAGAGAAGATGAGTAATTTGCAGGATGGAGGGGAGACTTGAATTCCCCGAGAGGACCGTCCTCCCTACCGCTCCATGATGCCTGGAGGATGTTTGGCGCCTTTCTGAGCCAGCGTTAGATGCAGGCAGTGAATCCGATAAAGCCTATCTAGGTGTCTAGGACTATGATGTGGAATGCTAACTCCTATGTTCCATCAGGGCAACGAGAAATTCACAGACTTCTAGACGACTCTGCAACCTGCAAAGCACCTTCATGCACACAGGACTCTCCCTGGTTCGGGTGATGCCTTCTCTTGGTAGATTTCCTGCAGTTCTGTAAGGGAAAAAAAGCAAGCCCAGCATCAGCGTGATAAATAATGTTCTATCGATGCAGCCGCTTTCTCAGGACAGCAACCCCTCGCACTGAGCTGAGCTGTGGCCCTGAAGAAGCCAAGATGATTCTCTGGGTCTCAAATTGACGTCTGGAAGTGGGATCATGGAAAATGGAGCCAGAGGAAGGAGGAAGAGGCAGCGAGAATGGGACATCTCCTCACCACAGAGGCAAATGCTGACGGGAGCACGCACAGTAAAATATTTTACTACGAAGCAGAATTACTCCAAAGACTGATGGGCCCGCTCGCGAGACCCACTCACATTTATGAAGGTCATAAGTTACAGACGCCCAGCCCGCTCGCAGGAGCACAGCCGTCACCTTTTATGGGTGAAACTTCCTGCAATATATTAAACTCTCCAGAAAACAGACAAGGGGTTTATGGCAAACGATAACTTTAATGCCTAGAAACCATTTGGTGATTTGGGGAGGATTATTAGTAACAAGGGCAAGATGCTGAGTCGTTTCCAGGCACCAGGCCCTGGCTCTCCTGCCGGCTCAAGCCAACCCTCTCTTCTTTGCATCCCAACCAGAAACGTGGACCCCGAGTCGCACCTGGGGTGAGAGGGAGCGTGAGTAGGAAGTGTGCTGAGGAGGGCGGACTGTTATGGGCTGAAAAGAATTATATTTGAGGAGAAGAAGTGCCTGATGGGAATCCTTAGGTTGCAGCCCAGACTGTCGCCGGACATTTATACAGGACGGGTGGCCAGGAGACAGCTACGATCACTGCCGCTTGTTACAAGTGATAAGGAGGTACCTGCCTGTGCTCCCCACGCTTGGAGGAAGTCGTAGAAAGGCCAGGGATCGCATCATCTTAAATGCTTTGCCCTATGTGATTTATTTATTTATTTATTTATTTTTTTAATTTTTTTTTTCAACGTTTATTTATTTTTGGGACAGAGAGAGACAGAGCATGAACGGGCGAGGGGCAGAGAGAGAGGGGGACACAGAATCGGAAACAGGCTCCAGGCTCTGAGCCATCAGCCCAGAGCCTGACGCGGGGCTCGAACCCACGGACCGCGAGATCGTGACCTGGCTGAAGTCGGACGCCCAACCGACTGCGCCACCCAGGCGCCCCAGCCCTATGTGATTTAGAGGAATCTGAGAAAGTCCTCCCCATCAAAGTCCTATCCCTCCGACTCGGTTTATTCCACGCCTGGCTCACAAAAGCATGGAACTGTGAGCCGATGGATACTGTCAGTCGGCAGAAGGGTCGCAGGAAGCTGGGCCAGCAGATCTGAGCACCTTGGAGTCGGCAAAAGTGTCCAATGCAGGGAGTCAGATGGGCAGCTCCTGCCTGCACGAGACATCCGTCCCGCGGTCGGGGTCGAGAGGGGCCAGAGCACTGGACGAGGAGTCAGGTGTGTTTGAAATCACAGCCTGGGACTGCAGACATGTCACTGCTCCTGTGGGGACCTCAGTTCTATGGTTTGTAAAAGAAGTGGGTACGATGCTCCCATGGAGTCCTTTGTCTTCATAGCCTCTGACTGTGGCTTCTTCCCTGGGCTCCGGCTGAACATGTCCCAGCGGCACTCAAATGATATTTAGTTCTCCAAATGGTACTTAGACTTTTTTGTTTTCCCCATGGACCTGCTCTTAAAAAGCACGTTCGGATCATTCTTAGTGGCTGAGCATCAAATTTCTTAATTGCAGAAAAGGGAAGGAAAAGAAAAGAGAAAAGCAGAAAAAATGTTCCACAGTGAGAATACAGGGTCCTGGATTCTAGTTCTCACGGAGCCCTGAACGGTGTGCATACCTTCCCGCACTGAACTTGCATTTCTTCCTCTATAAACTCAATGGGACCAGGGGCACCTGGGTGGCTCAGTCCGTTGAGCGTCCGACTTTGGCTCAGGTCATGATCTTAGAGTCCGTGAGTTCGAGCCCCATGTCAGGCTCTGTCCTGACAGCTCAGAGCCTGGAACCTGCTTTGGATTCTGTGTCTCCCTCTCTCTCTGCCCCTCCCCTGCTCATGCTCTCTCTTCTCTCTCTCTCTCAAAAGTAAATAAACACTAAAATTTTTTTAAATAAAATAAAAAAACAAACTCAATAGGACCAGATAATAATTGCTTACATTTATGACTGCTTCCTATGTACCAGCCACTATCCTAAGTGCTTCACACGCACAAATGCATTTAATCCTCACAATTCTATGGGGTAGAGATTATTGTTACACCTACTTTACAGATGGGGAGATCAAGGCATATAGGGGCTAGTAACTTGTCCAAGGTCTTACAGGGAGTAAGCGGCAGAGCTGAGATTTAAAACTCAAGCAGTCTGTCTTCAGAATCTAACTTTATGCAGCTGTGATTCTTTTTTGAAGCTGAATAAAAGTTCTAAGGAAACAGCAAACCTTTCACGATTTTCGGGAACCTTCGAATGGGGTCCATTTCACCTAACTCTGACCATATGGAGACAGGCGGACCCTCTGCACTAGCTCAGCAGGTTCACAAGCACGTGTGTCCAAATGTGTCATCCATGAAGCTTCTAGAACATTCAGCTTCCAGACCTTCTTGTACAGATTGTGATCTCACAGTTATGGGCAAGTCCCTGGATGCCGTATTTGTATCCAATGTCAGAGGATGTCGTTGGAGGACCATGACTTTCTGAGAAACACTGCTCTAAAGTATCACAGGGTATTTTCGGAGGCTCTTTCAGGAGTAAGGGACAGGTGAATGGGTAGACAGAGGAACGTCTTTGAAGAGTTCACCATCCTGTTAGAGAGAAAACCCAACACAGAGATGTTACAATGACGAGGTGGCCTGAGATATTTTCACCTTCCCCACCGGCCTGTGACTTTTTTCCACCCATCCACATACGACTCAAGTTCCATTTTGAGTACTTTGGGACAAGGGTAGCCTCTCTGTTCCCAGGACATTCGGCTCTCAGCACTGTCCTGGGCCTCACCGGCAGCTCCGGGACCAGAGTTCAGGGGCGGGGTAGACATGAAGCCCACTCTACTGCCTTCGCCACCTGTGAGGGCAAGAGAAAAGGGCCACTGCAAAGCCATTTGCACCTCGAGCGACAGCCTTTAGCCAGGGTGGGAGCTTCCTGGTCCCCTCTGCTTAGGAAGGATCCAGACAGACTATGACCTGTTTCTTTCTCCTATCTATGAAGGAGAGGTTGTCCTTGCGGTTGCTCACGGACACTCGAATATTCCTTCCGCTTCCCTCCACTGCGCATGTGGGAGAAAATGCACGTGGGAATGACACAGTCCACCATGTGATCTGGAATCCTCCCTCACCTGGCATCTGAACCAGGCACCTGCATCCCCCGCGAGCCATCGCTGTTTTGACACGAGTCTGACCGAGGCTGTCTTGTTTTTTTTTTTTTTTCGTTTTTATTTATTTTTGGGACAGAGAGAGACAGAGCATGAACGGGGGAGGGGCAGAGAGAGAGGGAGACACAGAATCGGAAACAGGCTCCAGACTCTGAGCCATCAGCCCAGAGCCTGACGCGGGGCTCGAACTCCCGGACCCCGAGATCGTGACCTGGCTGAAGTCGGACGCTTAACCGACTGCGCCACCCAGGCGCCCCTGTGGCTCTCTTGTTTAGCTGCAAGGGCCTCTCTTGTCCCATCGTGCTTTCCTGTCTATCTGTTATTAGATCAGCCATTTCCTGAGGGCAGGAGTTGATGGCTATAAACCTCATTTTTGTTTTGTTTTTAAACTTTTTTTTTAAAGTTTATTTATTTTTAAGAGAGAGAGAGAGACTGAGTGGGCGAGGGACAGCGGTAGGAAGACAAAGGATCTAAAGCAGGTTCTATGCCGACAGTAGCAAGACCGATGTGGAGCTCAAACTCAGGAACCGAGAGGTCATGACCTGAGCCGAAATCGGATGCTAAACCCACTGAGTCACCCCGCGTCCCCAAACCTCATTTGGTAATGCCCACGCAGGTTTCCATGGATGTGGGCGCTTAACACAAGACATTGCTCCCAGGTGAGGGTCGTCTGATGCTTACGTCACACCTGTGAATCCACCCGGTAATGTTGGAGCTTCTTGAAGCAAGTTACAGACACGGGAATGGCATTCCCTGGCTTGACGTGCCATCGTTTAGTCTTACTTTCAAATGTTGGCTTGGCAATTGCACTGGTTCGTGGGATTTTTCACATGGGCTCCAGAATGTCCTGGAATCCTCCCTGCTCCATTCACCCCACCCACCACAGCTACCAAGTGGAGTCAGGGTAGAGCGTGTCTCATGCAGAGACTGAAGAGGGCTCACGCGCCCTCGAATCAAGGCAACTCTCCTCTTACATGCACACATCTGCCTCCCAAAGATTTTCTTGTGGAAAGGTTTTTGACGCTTTGAGGAAAGTGTGCAAATCATGTGAACTTTTCAACTTATCTCTGGTTTAAATTATCCAACCCAGTGTTGTTGCTGCCAGTGTTCTGCTGCCCCAAAATGTTTGCTTGGTAATCGCTATATCCTTGCCAAAAAGATTTAACCAAAATGGGGCACCTGGGTGGCTCAGTCGGTTAAGCGTCCGACTTTGGCTCAGGTCATGATCTCGCGGTTCGTGAGTTTGAGCCCCGCATTGGGCTCTGTGCTGACAGCTCAGAGCCTGGAGCCTGCTTTGGATTCTATGTCTCTGGCCCTCTCCTGCTCACGCTCTCTCTCTCTCTCTCTCTCTCTCTCTCTCAAAAATAAATAAATATTTTTTAAAAATTAAAAAAAAAATTTAACCAAATGGGGCTAAGCCCATCACTAGAGACTTCATGGAAGTTAATAAAAGTACATGTAAAGGACTAAGTCCATAGGTAAATATTGGTTATGATTAATATTATAATTATTATTAGAAACTGTCCTGCATCGTTACTATTAGTCCAGGAATGTGTACTTTTTACTAGAGTTTTTCAATAACTTCGTATAACTGAGTTCTCAGCCAATTCACTTTTCTTCATCTTGCTTACAAAGATATAATTTTTAAAACCGTTGAACGTCTTGCTGAAAAAGACATAGGGCGTTCTCCTGATCTGTCAGTTTAATATTCATAGTAAAATAAGGACACACATCCAGAGTGTGTGAATTGTTCATAGTGAATCCATGTTGATCCCAGAGACCACTGCTTTCCTTTTGAAATACTTATCATTGGGGCACCTGGGTGGCTCAGTCGGTTAAACGTCTGACTTTGGCTCAGGTCGTGATCTCTGGATTTGTGAGTTTGAGCCCCGTGTCGGGGTCTGTGCTGACAGCCCGGAGCCTGGAGATTGTTTCGGATTCTGTGTCTCCCTCCCTCTCTGCCCTCCCCTGCTCTGCGCACACTCTCTCTTTCAAAAATAAACAAACATTAAGAAAAAGTTTTTAAAAAACACTTATCATTGGTTACTTCTCTGTTTGATAATTTTCCTTAACAGTACCCATCTATGTTGTTAGTGTGCAGTTTCTAGATTCAATCTCTTTTTTTCCCTGCCTGAAAACCTAAATTGGATTTTATTCTGTCCTGCCGTGTATTTTGTATGGTGTCTCAAAGATCTTTATTCTGTATTTATGTCTGGAAGCTCCCTATTTTCTATCAAAATGAGAACAAAGTCCTTTCACGCGGGGCTAGCCCCAGGGCTCCTACAGAGAGCTGACGTGTTCTCCTACTATCTGCACGACTGACCTGGGCTTTCTTTTCTGCTTTGAGGATCATCATCCTTGAAGAAAAATAAGGGGTAAACAGAGAATTAAAAATTGCGTTTTGGGGCGCCTCGGTGGCTCAGTCGGTTCAGCATCCGTCTCTTGATTTCAGCTCAGGTCATGATCTCACAGTTCGTGAGATAGAGCCCCACGTCAGGCTCCGTGCTGACAGCACGGAGCCTGCTTGGGATTGTCTCTCTCCCTCTCTGTCTGCCTCTCGCCCGCTCATGCTCTCCTCCCCCCATGAAATAACTACATAAACTTAAAAAAATGGTTTAATAAAAAAAAGAAAGTGCCTTTCATCTTTGATCAGGTGTGAAGTAAGGTTTGGCAGAGGCCAAGAGTCCTACGACGTACCCTTGGCCACACGGAATGAAACCAGTGAAGTATCTCTCTGAGCATCAGGAGGAAGACGTCATCATCCTCAGACACGTGGGAGAAGGTACCCCTTAAGTTCTGATTTGTCACCCCTTCTGGAATATTTGGTTTCACAAAAGGATGCTTCTTTCTCATCTCATGCAAAATTGCACTTATGCCTCTAAGAGGCAGAGGCAGGAACCATCCTTGGATTTTTCATTTGAATATGCCTGAATAATCTCTTTGAGAAAATGCATCCTAGTATCTAAGCCTGAGTTCCTGTTACTAGATTTTGGGGTTTATGTCTTGTTTCTTCAGTGAGTTGGGGGAAAGCTCACGGAAGCCGACACTCGCTCTTCTGTGACATGAATATGTTTCATCTGAATCGAGAATAAATACTGGCCATCTGCTGTATGCTAAGGATTGTACCTGCCACCGTGGGGAGAGCGTGGCCATTAGATCAGACAGTGCTGCATTTAAATCCAGAGTTGAGCTCTGAACTGCCACTTAGCCCTGGACATTTCATCAGCCCCTTGCAATCTAAATTTCTGCATTTGTAAAACAGGGCTTTTAAATTTTATTATACCTATTTCACAGGACTATTTTTCTGATTAAAGGAATATGGTGTGAAAACAGTCTTTCCCAAACTTTGCTGCACAGCGGAATCACCTGGGAATCTTTGAAAAATGCTGATAGCTGGCTCCTACCTCCGAACATAGTGAATTAATTAGTACAGGGCATTAAGAGGTTTAAAGCTTCCCTGGGTGATTCTAATGTGCAACAAAGTTTGGGAACCACGCATTAAAGTACCAGACACAGAGCAGGCAGCTGTTAAATACTGGCTTCTTCCCCTTTGCTTTCTCTTCGCTGAAAGAGCACTTAACAGCTTCCCAGGATACACAAGCTGGGTGCTCTATTTTCCATACCTGAGTTGAACAGGATGGGTCACTCCAGTGGGAATCCGTGGTGTGGACAAGGCAAAGTCCTTGCCCTCTTGAGGATGACATTCTCATAGAGCATCCTTTCCTGTAGACATTGCTTCCATGGTCATCCCTCAAGTTTAGACTTTTGAGTTTCCTAAAGATCTGTAGACTTGGCCACCTTCTCAAGTCAGAATGTGCTCCTCTCTTCAGTTCCCCTCCTCTGCTCTCCCCTCTCCCACTAAACACACCTCTGGCTGGTACTTATTTCTGGCTTCCAATCCCTTCAGACCCAGGAGAGCTCCTATCAGGAAGAAGAGGCACCTGCCAAGGGCCCGTCACAGTGGGGAGCCTGCACCTGCCTCTAATCCCAATTCACTTTCCACTAGAAGCTCCCAGGGGGCACCTTGACCCCCTAACTCTAATTTGAACACGAGATTACTCACTGGCCTAACGTTGCACTCCTTGAGTCCGCTTCCGTCAGGGACCTGAGAACTAACCCACTGACAAACACCTTTTACCCTGCAGGTTCAGATTGTCATTGACTTGGAACAGTTCATGAAGCGGCTTCTGGGACAAATCCTCCCTTGTGGGTTAGCGTATGTGGGTGCATTGGAAAG